TCTGTGCGAAGTCGCTTCAGCTCCACCCGCTCCTCCTGCGTCAGATTGGGCTTAGAGGGTGTGTGTCTGTCATAAGCCCGTAACACCTCGCCGCGGAAGTTGGCCATGTTCCTTTCGTCTTTGTCGTCCATCTGTGGGGGCTGCTTAAAGCCACGCTTCATCAGCTTCCACAATTTCTTGTCCTGTCTGATCTCTGGCGGTGGGTCCTCCTCTTTGAGGTCCACACCCTGAGGCTGAGGCTGTTGCCACCGGAGGGTGAACGCCATCCTCTCTACCGATGTCTCAACATCTGTTCGTTCTTGCTTGGTGAGCCTCCCCGTCGATGGGACAAAGCTAGGTCCATGTTCCAGCAGACGCCTTGTCTGGTCGGACACACAGTCGTCCACCACCAACGCCCGCTCATGGACTGGCTCAGCATTGGCCGTATGCCCACTGGGTGACGCAACACCAACGGCGGCAACAGGAGTTGGGCCGCGGGGTGAGCTGTTGGTTCCCGCCACACGTTGATCCGCCTCTCGAAGTCCAGAAATCTTCCGATTTAGTCTGGCGTTGGAACTTATTCGTTCTTCGGTAACCACAGCACGTTGAAGAGAACGGATCAATAGGTAGTCCGACTGTGTAAACATCCACAGTTGCTCTCTGGACTGCTTGTATCGCCTCCCGCGGTAATCTTTCTCTAAGCATTTGTCTTCGATGGCATCGCAGAGAAGACGGCGGCAGTGCTGATGTCTCCTGTGTTCTCTGATGGTCTTGTGACTCGTTGCTGCTGGCTTCCGCACACAATTCGAAATGAATCTGGGGATCAATCCCTCTCGCCGGCACTGCAAAAGAAAAGACAATTGACACGCGCTCCTCTGCAGCTTCCAAGACCATTGTACAAACCGCCACGCTGCCTCGCTCCGGGAAGAGGAGAACCAAGTTTGAAGAAGGGCTGAGGCTTCCTGCAGCTTCATCTGTGAAAAGAATTCGGGTGGACACACCCATTCCCATAGCGCTGCACATCACATCCGAACCAGTTCCGTTATTTTTACAACGTTTCGGCACTTGGCCATCGTCAGGTAATAACAATGAATACCGTGGAAGCCACACAAGAGCAGTATATACGCAGAGTGTAGCGCCAAAAAAGATGCGAATTATGTCACCTGGTATGCAGAAGGGGGGGGGACAGAGAGAGAGAAAAGGCGCAACTAGCACATCACGGAGGAGAAGCAGCAGAAGGTAGCGCGCATTGTGCTCTGTGAATGGCGTTACGCAGAGTGTAGCGCCAAAAAATAAAATGATGCGAGTTATGTCACCTCTATACAGAGGCGGGGGGGGAGAGAAGGTGCAACTGTGCACATCACGGAGAAGAAGAGCGCGCCGTTGTGCTCTACGAAGTGAGGGTACATGCCAAATAATTATGGTGTTAATTCTAGCGCAGGAGGGGAATTCTTTTTAGAAAGGAAAAGGAAATATAGATACGAGTTGAGAGTAACTCTCCATCACTGTAACCAGATACTATATACAGTCAGAAAGTGCAACAACTAGGCACAACACTGACAGAGTACTGAGACATTCGACGTCCTGACACCTAGCTTCACCACATCTCTGCTGTCGGTTAGCGATACGGAGATGTGTTGAAGCTAGGTGTCAGGACGTCGAATGCCACGGTCTCAGTACTCTGTCAGTTTTGTGCCTAGTTGTTGCACTTTCTGACTGTATATAGCATCTGGTTACAGTGATGGAGAGTTACTCTCAACTCGTATCTATTATTTCCTTTTCCTTTCTACATTTATTATTGGCTCAACATCCGAGTTTCAAATATTCTTTTTTAATATGGCAATACGTAGGACAAGCTGAAGTGGCATTTAGATTACTGTATTAACAATGTAAGCAATGGAGACGATGCAAAATCAATCTAAAGGGTAAGGAAAAATACATTACGAAGTAGTGGTTGCGACCTCGGCGATGATTTGTAAGAAAAGGGTTTGCTCCCCACAACGGAGCTCGCGCTATTCCGCCGACTTTACTTGACACTTGACTGACTCACGACTGCCATCCAGAGCACACGAGAAGTCCATCGAACCTTCGACTCGGCAAACCTGCAAGAAAGCACCACTCCCTGCTCAATACACAGTGTTTCGGGGAATTCACCCCTCATCAGTTGAGCAGTTGAGCTTGAGTAGGCTGAGAAAGATTGTGCCTGAAGAAAAATACATGTAAGAAGAAAAAAAGCGATGGAAAAAACTGTTCTTTTTCTTCGTATTGTTATTATTATTGACCGTCCAGGTTCGAGTAACGAAATTTTCTACCAGGATCCGTCCAAACACGACCGAACCAGAGCAGATCCACGAAGCTACTTTTTGTGACTTTGTGCGTCTTTTGCAGTGCCTGCTGATTCGTTGTTGTAGATCAGGTGGTGTTTTTCGTCATGTTGAGAAGCAGCATGTTGAACTTCTCAACATGTGCTGCTTTAGTTCTGATTAATTTCTAATTTTGTGAGGCCATGAGGACAAATTAGGAAGTAAACAGAATATAACCGCAATCAATAAGACAAGCTGAATCGACATTTGTGTATACTTTATTCATGCAGCGTAAAACAGCTTGTCTTATTGATTGCGGTTATCAAATTATTGTCTCCTCGCCGTTTGTTCAAGCAGAATATTTCTAGGTTATTTGAACTATTATTACAATAGTATTCTGTTCTAACTGTGTTAAACAAAGCTAAAACAGTTTAGGTATGCTATGCTGTGATAAATCTATCATTGCCCCAATAATCGGTCAATAGATGAAATATAGACCTCGTAAAAGACGTCGGCTTCGCCTCGGTGTTTTCCTCGTTCTATATTTCATAGGAAAAAAGGTTTCAGAGCAGACTCACTCTCTTCCCATTCACTCTGCAAAACTTGAACTCATTTCTCAATTTTTTTAACGGTTCGGCAAAATTGCCCTTATCAGGTATGCAATGGTGTGCAAGTTGCAAAGCAGCAGTTATATTTTTACTATTGTTAGGTCCCTCCTCCCTTACAGCCTTTTTTCCAAGCTGGCCTATATGCACCCCATACTACGTCGTACTCACCTTTTGTCTCCTTTTGTTCCGTTGGCCTGGGTAGCTACTTGCGTGCCCATATTTGCCATAGCTACCCAGGCCCTTTATCTTGCCGTTCTCACTTGATCTCTCTCCCTTGTCTCTCTCTTCCAAAATGTTGTTTCATTCGTCTTGGTCTCTGTCTCTTCCTCTCCCTTATACATGTCGTTCCCACCCTACCAGTTCCCGTTGTCCGTTGTAATGTCTGGAGAATATGCCGTCGTCCTTTTCGTACTCAACAGTGACTATGAATGAAGCTGCAGGAAAGCCTCACCACTGCTACTAGATTTCATATCTTGTTCAAAAATAGATACAAATGGGAGTCCTCCGGCTCGGTAGGGTGTGCTCAATATTCATTTGAATAGAGCTCTCTGAGCCTAAAACACTTTCTCTGTCCTCTTATTGTTTGGTGGTTTCAAGCCTATCTTACACACGCCACAGATCACCACGCATCATTTCTTGGTACTAATTGTATCATGCCCATAGGCAATAAGCAGACAACCGGCAATACTGGATGAACAGCCAAGATATATTATGCAATAATAGATACATAGTACTCGTGTGCAATGGCGTGTATTGTTCCTGTATGCAATGGCGTATATTTTTCCTGTACGTAATGGCGTTGTTTGTTTGTTTGTATTCTTTATTTAGAGTGGGAAGTCCAAAACAGGCCCTAGCCTAATAACAATGGTCCCACTAGTGAGGGAATGCTGTATATCTGTGCATAAGAATCAATGAGTGTAACAGCAACTATTAGGGAAAGAAAAAGAGAGTATAGAAACAACTCAAAACAGGAGTTGCGACTTGCATAGGAAGAAAATAACGGAAAGAGCAGTACATAGAGCATTTGTAAAGAGGCTTATTAATCTGGCAAGCAAAAAGGCAAGAGCCATTGACTTAAAGCGATTGCGTTTTCTTTCTTGCCTGACCGCAGCGGGGAGCTGGTTCCATAAGATGGTCCCAGCATAGGTAACATGTTTGGCAAGATATGCAGTTGGGCTGGCTGGGACATTCAGTAAATTGCTGTGCCCACCACGAGTTTGAATGGAATTACTGCGGCTGAAAAGGTTAGCGAACAACATGCTGATGTTATTGTTATTGTTCGTGTATTTTCTTCTCCTCTAGGTTTGACTGCAACGTATTGCCAGAGACCCTGTCACAGCGTTCCAGTCATCGATAGATGCCCCACCTGTACTGGACAGCTGTTTAATTACAGTTGCACGGGTAAGTGAAGATTAGATGTGCAAATACATGTGATTTGGCATGGCTCAGTTACGTTTCGTACCACGTGCAATGAAGGATAGCATGCGCACAGTCCGAATATCTCCCATGATCATGCTGGGGAGTTGGATCTGAACAGTTAGTTTCTGTCAGCAGGTGCACCCCGTCCCCTCCCAAAAAATCAGATATTGCATTTTCTGTCATTGTAATGCCATGATGAGATGTGTAATGTCAGGATGAGAATCAGAGATGCACGCGCGTGTGTGTGTGTGTGTGTGTGTTTGTGTGTTTGTCTGATTTTTGGGCTTGTTTGTGTGTGTATGTGGATATGTGTGTGTTTTTGTGTATGTATGTGTGTGTGTTTTGTGTGTGTGCGGGGGGGGGGGGGAGTGTGTGTCTGTGGGTGTGTGTGTGTATGTGTGTTTGTGTGTGTGTTTTGGGCATGTTTGTGTGTATTTGTGTGCATATCTGGTTATGTTTGTGTGTTGGTGCGTGTTTTTCTTTATGTGTGCGTGTTTGTGCATGTATATGTATGTGCGTGTGTGTGTGTGTGTGTGTGTGTGTGTGTGTGTGTGTGTGTATGTGTGTGTGTATGTGTATATGTGTGTATGTGTGTGTGTATTTGTGTGTATGTATGTGTGTGTGTGTTCTTGCATGTGTGTGTGTATTTCCTTTCTCCAGGAACGCATCACTGTGGAAGTGTAGCGGGTATTGAATACGTGAAGTTTCCCGGAGTAAACAAAAGTGCAGCCCAGGCCCACGAGTTGTGCAGGAGAAGTTTTAAACACGGCCAAGTGGCCTGGCCGGGAAATGAAAAAGAAAACAAATGCCTGAAAGACTTTCACTCCTCCAGTGCATTTTGGCTGGGCATCTGGCCTGATTTTAAGGCCCGAGTATGGAATAACCCCGACTTGCAACCAATAGCGTGGCAAAACTTTGCGCTGGGTCAGCCTGACTCTCACTTCACCCAATGTGGAGAAATGCTGCACGGTGGAAATGGCAAATGGGATGACGTTGACTGCAATGCTGAAAAACCATTTATATGCCAAAGAGGTAAGCTGAACTTATCCACCTATGTGTATATGTGTATATGTGTATATGTGCATGTATGTGTATGTGTATATGTGTGTATATGTGTGTATGTGTATATGTGTATATGTGGCTATGTGCTTGCGCAAAATCAAAATTATACTTTTAAACTACCCCATAAATGCTTCGGATCAAACTCATCAAATTGCTAGAATTACAGAAATCTGAATCAAATCTGTTTCTGAAGCAATATTGTGTGCTAACAGCATCCCGCCTGGTGAGATGCTGCCTCTGAACCTATCCAGTTCTATGCATCAGCTATGCCTGAAGCGAAGAGAGCGAGGGCACGGGAGGGGACGGGGACGGGGACGGGGACGGGACGGGGACGGGAGGGGAGGGGAGGGGAGGGGACGGGGACGGGAGGGGAGGGGAGGAGAGGGGAGGGGGCAATATTGCTTACATTGCGCCACTCGCATAGCAAGTCTGTAACGTTGCAATTATTGGTTGCGTTCAAGTTTACAGTCGGCGTAAAACCAGCCTTTTACCAGCTTGTAAAACTATTGTATGTTAGGAAAAGTTGCTCCCCATGCCAGAGCCCCCCCCCCCTTCCCCCCCTTCCCCCCCCCTTCCCCCCTTCCCCCCTTCCCCCCCCCCCCCCCCTTCCCCCCCCTTCCCCCCCCCTTCCCCCGGACTGACTGAATGAAATAGTAGTGGAGACTTTGGTGACGATTGCCAAAGCGCTAGCTCTGGCGTGGGGAACGTCTTTACTATGACATCATCGCCGAAATCACTACCACTATCTCATTGTATATTAAGAAACGACCAGGCACGTGCGGCGGTGCCCTTCAAGGGGGGTTCCAGGGGGCCTCCCTCGGGAAATTTTTCAAAAAATGAAGCAAAATCCTGCATTTTGAGCGAAAAAAAGGGTTCCGGGCACCCAGGAATCCGTACGGGGCACGCGCCTGAGGACCAATGAACTACAACATACCATACATTGTCCACTAACACCACCAATTACTTGCCAATCAGTTTGCCCGAAAAATAGCACAAAAGTGACTGACAGTACAGTACTGGTCTGTGCAATGTTATCACAAGAGCTGATTGTCAGCTGATTGTCAGCTGATTGTCAGATGAATGTCCGCTGATTGTCCGCTGATTGTCAGCTGACAATCAGCTGATTGTGAGCTGATTGCCAGCTGATTGTGAACTGATTGTCAGCTGACACTCATCAGCTGATTGTCAGCAGATTGTCAGCTGATTGTCAGCTGATTGTCAGCTGACATTCAGCTGATTGTCAGTTGATTGTCAGCTGCTTGTCAGCTGATTGTCAGCTGATTGTCAGCTGATTGTCAGCTGATTGTCAGCTTATTGTCAGCTGATTGTCAGCTGATTGTCAGCTGATTATCAGCTGATTTTCAGCTGATTGTCAGCTGATTGTCAGCTGATTGTCAAATAATTGGTGGTGTTAGTGGACATTATAGCCTAACTTGTAGTTCCTTAAAATAGAAGATGCACTGCCAACTGCTTACCGCCTTTCTAATTCACCTGCTGAATTTCGATCATCCATCAAGACTTTATTAGGGTTCCCTGCAAGAAGGCGATGACGCCTGTTGGGAATTCCCTAGTAAAATAAGAATACGAACTGAGAAGAAAATAAGAATAAAAAATAAATTAGAAACTCGGATGTTGAGCCATAAATAAATGTAGAAAGGAAAGGACATATGGATATGAGTTAAGAGTAACTCTCCATCATTGTAACTGGATACTATTATACAGTCAGAAAGTGCAATTACTAGGCACAAAACTGACAGAGTCCTGAGACATTCGACGTCCCGACACCTAGCTTCAACACATCGTTATTGCACTTTCTGACTGTATAATAGTATCCAGTTACAGTGATGGAGAGTTACTCTTAACTCGTATCCATATGTTCTTTTCCTTTCTACATTTAAAAAAATAAATGAAAAGAAATAATCAAAATGGAAACGAGTTATGAAACAATTATCCTCGAATGTCACAAGATAATAAGCAGTCAGTACGTGTGATAACAGGGCACAAAACTGACAGCCTACTGAGACATTCAGCGACCTAAGACCTAACTCTAACACATCTCCTGTGGGCAAACCAACAGCCTTCCAACTTGGAAGGTTGTAGTTCCTTGGTCATTTTTTACTATAAATTAATCATTGGCTCTCCATCCGAGTCTATCATAGAATATTCTTCATAGAAAAGGTAAATTTATACTGTGATCGCTTCACCAAAGAAAACCTTGGATGATACATTCTCCTTCGTTCATGCATTCTCTTTGGGCAACTTACTCATACAGATACAAGTCCATGCTGGCAATCTCTTGAGTGCCTCTAGAATGAAGTTTTGGGCTAATCTACAGGATAGAGATTGGCTTGTAACACCTCAATGACGGCATCCATACATATGACCTCACACAACCAATGTTTGCATAATATAATTATTATATTCATGTTGATGTCTGTTCGCCAACCACGATTGGTGTGTGCATGCCATGCCACTGATTGGGCTGTGGTATAGTCTTGTTGTATTGGGGACAAACAAATTTTCACCATTCTCCCTTTCCTTTCACAGCGGTAATGTGTCATGTGACCCCACCTAAGTTTGGCAATGCAAGCAGCCGATTTGTCCACTATCCTGACAGTGTACAGTACACATGTGATACTGGATACTGGCTGGATGGACCGACAACAGCAAACTGTACATCCGATGGAACGTTGACTACAACACCTAAGTGCAAGGGTAAGTCATTCCATTGTTGCTTGGATGGGGATGGAGGGGAGGGAGGGGAGGGGGGGGGGGTACTACCACTGGTTCTTTGTAAATTCAGTCTAAATTAGAATTACCAAATGGTGCTAAAAATCAAAGGACCTAAAGGTTTGTGCGTGGCATGGAGGACATAAAGGTTTGTGAATGGCATAGAGGGTCTGTGAATGGCATGGAGGACTTTATGGCTATACATTGTTTCTACACGACAAGTTGGTTTGAGGACCGTACCCCTGCACCGGCCGACAGGGAGGATTCTAACAAACCATTGAGCCTGGCATGCCCTGTGATGCTACCACTAGCCAGGTCATATCTTCCCTGGCAGAGAGAGAGAGAGAGAGAGAGAGAGAGAGAGAGAGAGAGAGAGAGAGAGAGAGAGAGAGAGAGAGAGAGAGAGAGAGAGAGGCTGACAATGTGATCATGACAATCTTAGCCAGTATGAGCTGCAATGTCACAGCAGAATTGGGGAGGTGAGCTCTTGCTCTCTATTTGTGCACCATACATTTTCTGCCTGCACTGTACGATACCGCAAACACATAATTGTACAAATCTGCTTTTAAAAAGTACCTCCAGTCGGAGTTTAACTAATAAGAGACCCTGAAAGAGACAGAAAAGAATATTAAAATTACGGTACATTGGACTCCTATGACGCCCCTGGCGGACATTGATTGATGGTCGCCTTGACGACAATAAAAGCTTAGTTCTTAAAGAACGTGTGACACTGAACATTAGGAAACACATCTCTTGCGAATCTGTCTGATAATAAGTAGCACAATAGCAGAATATCCAAGTGAAAACCACCAGGGAACTAGGAGATGTTAAACGATTGCCAAAGCCGATACGAATATTTCATCTTAGGTCCTTGTCGACTGTTTTCTTATCTCCATTTTACTATTTCTGTCTCTGTCTCTGTGTTTACTTCTCTCTGATTGTCCATGTATGTATTTCTCCATTCCAGTTACATCATGTGATGTCATACCACCTGTTCATGGCAGTGCTAGCAGTCTATCTATCCACTATCCTGACAGTGTAGTGTACACATGTGATACTGGATACTCGCTGGATGGACCCACAACAGCAAACTGTACATCGGATGGAACATTGACTGCAACACCACAGTGCAAGAGTAAGTCATGCCGATCCTGTCTGGTTTGTTTAAGATGTGGTGATGGTGGCAGTTAGAGTCTTCTGTATCGCTGGGAGTTGCATTAGAGGAGAACTGTTCTCCAAGAAGTGTTTTTTTTGGACTTTTGGGACAATTTGAAGCAGTATCCATCTAATCTGATTCAATTTTTCAATAACTGTACTCGTGCGATTAGAGCCCTTTCTTGAGTAGTGCCCCTCTCCTCCTGGCGTTGTTTTGCTAATGTGTTTTTGCCATTGCCTGATGACAGTAGTAATACGTGAAACTCAGAGTTGCGACACAGCTTCCAATCTCTCTTGTGTAACGTGTTTTTGTCCATTTCTGTCCATGCACTGGTGGTGTCGGGACCAAAATTGCAGTTCTTTTTGCCGTTGCGCACACACATTGAAGCAATCTACAGAAGAGCGGCATTAAAAATATGTCAGCTGTTTTCATTCCTGTTGTTTAGATCTGGACTTTGAATGTGAAGGGCAGAGGTTCAAAGTCGCTGTCAATCTCACCCGTACTAGCTTTCGCAAGGCTCAGAGATTCTGCAGGCAAAATGAGATGAAGTTGCTAAGAACTCGCTTGCACGAGAAATTCACCCAGTGTTCCTCGTACATGGTAAGAAACTGAGACTGATTAAGAAACTGAGACTGCATGATTAAGAAACTGAGACTGCATGATTACGTTGAATGCCATCTACTAACAGGAAACCAGTATTTTTAGCTGTAGTAAAAAAAGTGTAGTAAAAAAAGTGTAGTAAAAAAAGTGTAGTAAAAAAAGTGTAGTAAAAAAAGTGTAGTAAAAAAAGTGTAGTAAAAAAAGTGTAGTAAAAAAAGTGTAGTAAAAAAAGTGTAGTAAAAAAAGTGTAGTAAAAAAAGTGTAGTAAAAAAAGTGTAGTAAAAAAAGTGTAGTAAAAAATGAGTACGAATGTACTTGTGATCCAAACCTGTGTAAGCAAAAAGAAACTTTTACCGCACTTACACAATTCCAGTTATTTTCCACTCCCCACATTTACCCATACATTGCCACATTATGAAGTGCTATCTTTGCTGAATGTCCCATTCTCCCGTGTATATTTGTCACTTACTGTAAAAGCCATATTATATAACAAAGTGCTAACTCTAACGAGTTAACGAGGAGCAATCTGTATAAAATATAAATCATTATACAGAAATCGACACATGTACTATTGAGCGTTGAGAAAGAGTGAAAATCGTTACCTTTGGTACAAGTAAACTAGTCAATTTTGGAAAATCGTTATATAGAACGGTATCTTTCCCCTGACGAACAGAACGGTATCTTTCCCCTGACGAGCAGAACGCGACACTTGCGATTCTGGAAGTAAACTAGTGTACTACAAACTGCATTCAGTGTTATGGTGTTTTAAAAGTGATTTCTGTATCCTCGTACTGCAAATCCTAATACAGTTTTTTCCCCGATTATAAGTCGTAACCCCAATTTCAGGTTTGAGACATATTGTTTTGATATACAGTCGTCCCTCTCTAATCCAGCACTTTATAATCCAGCACCCTCGATAAACCAGCACAATTTTCAGTAGCCAAAATGTCCTCTTCATGCACATTGCAGCAGTAAATCAGATTTGTTAATCCAGCACCCTCCCTAATCCAGCAGATTTTCGTGGCACAAATGGTGCCGGATTATAGAGGGACCACTGTACAGTCAACTTCGCTAATAACGACCGTGGATATAATGACAATTCGCGAATAACGACTGAATTTCCATGCCCAGAGCAAAGTCCATTCTACCTGAACACATATAAAGAGACTTCGGGTACAAGGACACTTCGAGCCGGAATAGGGACACTTTTATGATGCCTCGCCAAGTGTCGTTATACGCAACGTTGACTGTAATTATTCACTTCAGCAGTGAGTCATGCCTGATTGTGCCCATGAATTTTAGTGTAAAAAGGTGCTTGGAATTATATTCAGCAACATACGGTAGCTAGGTGTATAACACAGTTTGGGAGTTTGACAAAGTGTCCTGTTCGATCCAAAAGTCTGCGTAATGTCAAATTACACCAACTTGGCCTGTCGATCTTGACGGACTGCACAACTCAGTTCGTATGGAAAATGAGATACGGTCAGTAATATTTGCGTAGAGGGTTTTTCTTAGTGTGATCTGGAGGCTGTACACTAAAGTGATAATTTGTTTATGGTCGTTTGTTGCAGGATGTACTGGGGCGTGCAGCTGTTGACACCGTCTGGATGAGAACAGTTAGGACACGTTCAAGGTCGACCCCTTCGATCATGTATGACATCATCAGTAGAGAGCTGACGAGCGTGCCAGATGCCACAGCAACGTTTGCCTTCATATGTACTCGCGTAAGTTGTGCGATCATTATCATCCCAGACCATCACAGAACAACCAGGGGGCAAGCAAAGCTGATTTTGTCACTACTCTGAGTTTCATGCTTACGCAATCATCAGGCAACAAGCCTTGCTTGTCCTTGTTGTTCTGTGTATTACGCTCTGCCTCCGTGGCAGTGTTTAGCACTGTCAGCACATTGGGGTACATCCACCGGTCATCCAAGATCATAATAGCTAGGTTTAATGGCAACTAAATAGAGCGGTTGTCAGTTGACAACCCCCCCCCCCTGTATTTACAATGCAGTTGCGTGATGTCCACCACTTTCTGAAAGAACACATTTGCTGGGTTGATAACGGCACACCAAAAAGTTGAAGAGTTCAAGTTATTTGGATGTGGACCCTAACATAGCATTTGAATGAAAAAGACCGGACAAGATGACCGGACAAGATGACCGGACAAGATGACAGGACAAGATGACCGGACAAGATGACCGGGCAAGATGACCGGACAAGATGACCGGACAAGATGACCGGACAAGATGACAGGATGTCGATAGCAAGCGGCTAGCAGAACCTTGTTGTAACCGCCCCTTTTCATTTTTCCACTGCGTTGCCTTGGATAGTTGCCGTGGTTGGTTACCACCCTTCATTTCACATTCAATTGTCATTGGCAATCGTTTGATGAGCCAGGAAATGCTGAATAAATACAATACAAATACAAAACAACGCAGGCTGTAAATTGTGAAGTTAGATGTTCTCGTTTGTTAGTACATTGTTGTTACAAGATTGACAGTACTTCAATTAAGAGATGTTTGCTTTGCTTTATTCTTATTGTTTCATAGAGAGTATAACTGGTCTGACTGCAATCCCCTACGGACGTTGGAGGAGGAAATAAGCTTGATGGAGGGAGTACAACAGGTATACCGGGTCAAGGTGCTGATGCAAGTGTCGCCAAGCCTGACAACCGTCTAAAATCCGGTACCCCAGTGTCGGCATGTGCATCGACCGTTTTCCCGATGCGTGTTGCACAAAACCCTTCTCGAATCTTTGTTTTTCTCTTTTTTACGATTTCTGTTGTGGTCTTCCTTTGTTATTGTGCATTGTTTCTATCGGTTTACACCGATTGAATAAAGTGTCTTCGTTTCCATTCAGCTTGCCCTCTTGAGTCATTGAATCCCCGTGTAAGAAGTAGGAAGTAGTGACTTCAGCGGTATTCGTATCTGTAAACGCAAAGAAGTAGCCACATGCCTGGTGTCTGTATACATTCATACCTTGGTTATCCGGAACCCGAAGTTACGGGCACTTCGGTCTCCGGGCACCTTTTGAGCGAGTTTCAGTGGAAATGTGACGTCACTATTATTTTCTGGCCTTTCTCCATTAGAATTATAATTCGGAGTTACGGACATTTCGAAGTTACGGGCAGTGCCCGGTTCTGGACTGCCCGGATAAACGAGGTATGAGTGTAATTATGAAGTTGCGTATTTCCCCGTTCAACACACGTTCCTTGCCCGAGTTCACATGCCTCAATGAGATGCTTATGAGCGAATAGTTCTTGAGCACAAATTTCATAACCTATTCAAACACAACTGGTGAGGGTAGTTTCCCTGAAACACTGTGTGGGGAACAAGGTCAGCGGCGTCGGAACCTATGCGACAGGTCCGGCTAAAGCCACACCAAAAATTTTCATCTTGTGCCTTTTCAAGAAATGAAATAATTATGGGATACTTTTGGGCCCAATTTCCCTAAACTTTTCACGAAGGGGGAACCCCGACACCCACCTACTCATGCGGCTGCACCAATGACAAATACCTTCCAACACCCCTGAAGGTGTGATGCTTTCTTAACGGTTTGCAGAGTCCGAGGTGCAATGATCTCGGGTTTTTTTTGCTGTGGTTGGCAGTCTAAATCCAGTCAAGTGAGCGTCACGAAGTATAGTGCTGGCAACTGAAATCCGACACCCTCAGCAGTGGGTTCACATTCTTTGCGATGTGAGCGCACCGCTCAGGGGGGTCGGATTTCAGTTGCCAGCAACGTAGGAGCATCCTACTCTTGAAAAACAATTTCCATGTATGAGGTTTTTCAAAATCCCAAGGTCCTGTCCGGAGTCATAGGTGCTCGAGGTGAACTGGTTTGCACCAAACACTACACTTTCCGCCCTATGACCACCACCGCCAAACACGCCAAAAGTCTCTTCTTCAGAAGGGCTCGCTCGGCGAAGTATGCGGAGCAAGAAATCAGAAGATAGTAATTCTTTAGTGAAAACGGCCTAGTTCAAACAGGGTTATCAGTATGACATCAGTATGACATCAGTATGACATCAGTATGACATCAGTATGACATCAGTATGACATCATAAAAATGAGTGTGTACTTCAACAGTAACTAGTACACTCTACAAATACTTTTTAGAATATTTTCAAATTCACAGCGACATACTGAGGATGAAAACTGGTAAAAGTAAGAGGCTTGTTCTGGGGAAACAAGAGTGGGGAGATCAATGACCACAGACACACCATGGGGAGATCAATGACCACAGACACACCCCACACAACAACAGTGGGGAGATAAATGACCACGGACACACCACACACAACGAGTGGAGAGATCAATGACCACAGACACACCTCACACAACAACAGCACTGAATTCTGGAGTCTGCTGGGTTGCCCAAGTTGGACATAAAACAATATCTGATTAATCGCATGTTCCACCAGTTGGCCTGGTGGACAGTGTGAAGCAAATTAGCTGCACACGCACACACCCACTCACGCACACACGCGGGTGCACACATGCCTGAAGTTACGACCGCCTTCACAACCACCTTAGGATAGAGCAATCAAACATGGTTTTATAACTCGGATATGGCAGGAGACAAGAAAGAACCGCACACAACATTAGGCAACTACGATACTAGCGTGGTGATTTGCAACATTGACTGAAATGCTCAATCTGTTTCCAAGAGGGGATTTTGAGCAACTCAATAGTCTCTCATAATCCTGGAAGCACTGATCTGGCTTTGTATGGCTGATGTGATGTCGGCGTTATGCTCATCCAGCATGTTCCTCACACCGACTTGCAACGGCTCAAAGTTTGTCTCACTCGTACGCGCTTTGATGAATTCCTGGGATCGGAACAAAACAGAAACACACGCACACACGTGCACACACGTGCACACGCAAACACACACACACATACACACACATACATAAACACATGCATGCATAAATGCATAAATGCATAAACGCACATGCAAACGCATACACACACAAACACGTACACATCACCGAACACAAACGAACACAATTCATAAATGCATACACACACGCATAAACATACACGCATGCACGAATGCACAAACAAATCCACCTACAGGAAGGCAATGGAAAACCCGTTTAAAAGTGTGCCCTAGTCTGACAGCCAACAGCAGAGCAAACATTGACAGTGATGTTCACAGAAACCATTGACAGGGATGTTCACAGCAACCATTGGCAGGGATGTTCACAGCAACCATTGGCAGGGATGTTCACAGCAACCCTTGGCAGGGATGTTCACAGCAACCATTGGCAGGGATGTTCACAGAAACCATTGGCAGGGATGCTCACAGCAAACACAGTGGCAATCGCTACACATACTGTGTCATACAAAGCATGTGTTCAAACCTCGCAGACTATACACCGTTCTCGTGACCAGGTCCTACTTGAAAAATCACAAGATTCTGGGGGACTCAGGGGCTTGGCTCGCACATCTGTGTTGTTGTGACCGTGTACTACCGGCAACCTCATGGTCGCCTTTTCGCCTATTTGGAGTACTTTGCAGTTCTTATGAGGGTCATTTGCTGGTGTGGTGAGCGGGCTACGCTGACTATACATGGGGCTACACTGACTATACATGGGGCTACTGACGATATATGGGACTACACTGACTATACATGGGGCTACACTGACTACATATGGGGCTACACTGACTATACATGGGGCTACACTGACTACATGGGGCTACACTGACTATACATGGGACTACGCTGACTATACATGGGGCTACACTGACTACATATGGGACTACACTGACTATACATGGGGCTACACTGACTACATATGGGGCTACACTGACTATACATGGGGCTACACTGACTATATATGGGGCTACACTGACTATACATGGGGCTACACTGACTATATATGGGGCTACACTGACTATACATGGGGCTACACTGACTATACATGGGGCTACACTGACTATACATGGGACTACGCTGACTATACATGGGACTACGCTGACTATACATGGGGCTACACTGACTATACATGGGACTACGCTGACTATACATGGGGCTACACTGACTACATATGGGGCTACACTGACTATACATGGGGCTACACTGACTATACATGGGGCTACACTGACTATACATGGGACTACGCTGACTATACATGGGGCTACGCTGACTATACATGGGGCTACGCTGACTATACACGGGGCTATGCTGACTATACATGGGGCTACACTGACTATACATGGTGCTATGCGCCTGCAAGAATATTCAATTCGGATATCGTACCTCCATCGTGTAGATATTGGACTCTTTCTGCTGCCAGACTCTCTCCCAGCTGCGAATCTGTTTGTTCGTGTCGTTTTGCTCCAGTTTGAGACGGAACTGATCCACATCCTTACTCAGCTTATCAATCTGCACACGGTGTTGATGTACGGCTTGGTCTTAGGAAACAACACAGATATGCAGATACACACAGAAACACAAACCCACACACGCATGCACGCACACACATGCACGCACACATGCACGAAAGCACAACAGACAACAAACTCATAAGCAATGCGTTTCTTCTTCCGACAGAGTAATCCGTAATCTTGCTGTCCGTATGAATACGCTTGCTGTACATATGAGTACGCATTAGGCACATATGCATAGCAACCAGCCAATCACACTTCACAGAATACTGTAAGAGTTGAAAGTCTAAAAGGGCACAAAATCTAACGTTTTAACCGGAAAGAATCCATCGTGAACTCGAGAAACGTTACATGTACACTACCTGTACTTCGAAGTATGTTATTCTTGTTCTCCTCAATACTAGAGACTTTGAAGTCAGGTGTGTAATGGCAGGGGCGTTAAACTATGTGCCTGCTAAGTGAGACTTTTTGCAGATCGTTAACTTTAGACTCGTCGAACTTTCAACTCTTACAGTAGTCTGAAATTTGAGTAATGGAGGCTAGTGGGTTTCCATCTTCGGCATGTGTAGGTGCTGGTCACTTACCCAGATGGTTCTTTTCCTGAGTGAGCGTTCCACCTCTCTTCTTGGCACCTTCTCTTAATCCTGCTATGTCCTCAATAAGCTCCAGTTCCGAAGTCATCTGCGATATCTGAAGATTTACACAGCATCCAGAAAACCACAATACGGCAGAATTACACGCCATCACCAATGGCAACATCAAAAAAGAGGAAGATGCAAAATGTGTAGGAGGGTGCAGTGCCAATATGTGAAATTCGTACAGTGGAACATGGCTTGTATGTCACCTAAGCTATGTCGCTCAGGTTTGCAAATGGGTAGTGTGAATACCCATGTACCCATCCACACGGTTTAGTCAACATGCCCATCCATGCAGTATAATATCCATGTACCCATGTCTACCAAGCATATCCATGTGCCCATGTGTATTGTGCGTGCATATCAATTTTATGATCAAGTGAACAAACGATATGTGCAGTTGCCAAGTCATGGACAATACCCTAATACTCTTGTTTGCTTGTTGCACATAACCATAATCAAGAACATCGTACACATAACCATAATCAAGAACATCGTACACATAGCCATAATCAAGAACATCGTAGCTCAGGCGTAATTCAAACACCAACTCGTCTGAATCTGTATGCCCTGGAGGTTTAGCGCTGAGTACAGCTCATCCGAAACCACTGCAGACGAAGAGAGTTTTAGAACCTTCTCTCTGCCCATAGTGTATTCTATTGCAGTCGGTAAGCTTCAGTGTCCACATCATCACGCAAGTCAACAAATATTCGGCGCATACCTATTTTCGGCCTGGGCATTTTTGGCCTAGAATTTGTTTGCGGCCGAAATTTTGTTTTGCACGGTTCAGAGTGACGGTGTATACAGATAGGAGCACA